GGGTTATCGTCAACAGAAAATCATGACAATGGTGGAACCTCACCTTCAAAGCAGCCAAGTCAGAAGAAGAAGAAACCTTTGCTTCGTAAATTTGGAAGCCTTCTAAAGAAGAAGGGCACAGGCAACCAGAAGTAATAGTGCAGCTATCTATCTCCCATTTTGCGTCTGACCGGTAGGAAGGTATTCTAGCTTCTACATTGCACTTGGATGTGTTTGGTCCATGCTTTTTCCTTCATTTTTTTATCTTTTCGGGGGCTAAATATGAAAAGGCCTGTGTTGTCTTTATATCTTTTTTCTAACTCTGTAGATGCTAATAGCCATGTTGTGTCTAGTATTGTGAACTGGTCGTTCCTTTTCTTGTCAAAATCACATTAAAAGAGGTCTATTTTTATTTTTTGTTTTTTTTTTTCTATTTAAAGATGTAATTTGGTATACTTTCATCTGTTCTACACAAACAAGTCATTATTTAAATTTGCCGTTATGTGTGGAGGTATGAATATTTGATTTTAAATTGTTTGATGTAAACACATTATTCTACTTATACTTTGCAATGATGATGTTAATAGATACAGGAAATAATTTACAGATGATTCAAGAACTTGTCTCTGAGCTTGGCACTGAGTTTTCTCTCAAAGACCACCATTTCGTCGAAAGTAAAAAGGTTACCAACGGGCTTGATTCTTTCACAAATGAAGTATTCAAGAGACTTGTCGAATATTACTAGGTCGAATATAACTTGTGTTGTCAACCTAGCATGTCAACAATTTCATACGGAAACATGTTACATGTACATTAAGTTTGGTATCCTTTAATATGGCGACCATCAAAACCATTGATTTTTATAACATCTTTTCACATCACTAGTCAGATTTTGACACATACGATGGAATGTCATCCTTAATATCAACAAGCATGTACATCTAGATTTATTCTTTCATACGAAGCCGGTGTTTGGTTCCATATGAAAAGGCCTGTGTTGTCTTTATATCTTTTTTCTAACTCTGTAGATGCTAATAGCCATGTTGTGTCTAGTATTGTGAACTGGTCGTTCCTTTTCTTGTCAAAATCACATTAAAAGAGGTCTATTTTTATTTTTTGTTTTTTTTTCCTATTTAAAGATGTAATTTGGTATACTTTCATCTGTTCTACACAAACAAGTCATTATTTAAATTTGCCGTTATGTGTGGAGGTATGAATATTTGATTTTAAATTGTTTGATGTAAACACATTATTCTACTTATACTTTGCAATGATGATGTTAATAGATACAGGAAATAATTTACAGATGATTCAAGAACTTGTCTCTGAGCTTGGCACTGAGTTTTCTCTCAAAGACCACCATTTCGTCGAAAGTAAAAAGGTTACCAACGGGCTTGATTCTTTCACAAATGAAGTATTCAAGAGACTTGTCGAATATTACTAGGTCGAATATAACTTGTGTTGTCAACCTAGCATGTCAACAATTTCATACGGAAACATGTTACATGTACATTAAGTTTGGTATCCTTTAATATGGCGACCATCAAAACCATTGATTTTTATAACATCTTTTCACATCACTAGTCAGATTTTGACACATACGATGGAATGTCATCCTTAATATCAACAAGCATGTACATCTAGATTTATTCTTTCATACGAAGCCGGTGTTTGGTTCCCATATTTTAAAACCCATTTTCTACAAATTCGTTTTTAATTACACATTTTATGTGATTTACAACTTTTATCAATTTTTCAATTATACATTTCACTCACTTTTATCAAAATTTACTATAAATATAATTTTCATTCAAACCAAACATGGGTTAAATAAGTATCTTCCACTTTACGATTCCAGCTTGTTAATACAGAGTTCAATCCAATTAAGAAAGACTTGTGAGCTACTAAAGTGTACTTCGCTATATCAAAGGCACTCTTATGGATTTCATTTCTTGTTTCAAAGTTATCTCGATCTCTTTTCTTTTTGGTATTGTTGACGAGGTTGGCTAACCAAAATTCTATTGATACAACTTGTTTTTGTGTCTTCTTAGGAGCGAATTGTATTAGTTGGTATCAAAGATGCGACTAACCCTTTCTCATTCAAGTGTCGAAGCTAAATACCACTCGATGACTACTTCATCTCTTTCAGGAACTCAATCTTCTACTAGAACAATATTCAAGAATTTTTTGGACAACAAGAGCACACAATCCTTTTTTTCGTGTCCGCACCAAACATACCCTTGTTTGGTCTAGTTTTAAAATTCAGATTTTTAGTAGATTTTCATAAAAGTTAATGAACTATTAGTTGAAAAGTTCTAAGTCTTATTAAATGTGTGATTGACTTGACTTAAATTTTAATCCACGCCAAACGAGAGCCTAAATAAGTTAAATTTTATCCAAGAAATAGTTGTTGGGAGATCATTTCCATCCCTAAACGACTTCGCCAATATTCTGACAAAGGTATTGAGCCATTACCGGGACAATTTCCCATGATCTCCAAGTCAAGCTTGGTGTTCATTTTATTCAGTTATTCCACTGTAAAGATGATGCTTATTTCGTTGGGGAAGTAGAAAAACAACAGCAACATAATGGCGTCATTGGTGAACACATAGGACAGTTTCCTTGATTGGCGTAATCCATTAGCAGCACGATTATCCCCGTTGATTTACCCAGCTGGTGTAATGGAATCTATACCGATAATATTTTTTTAATGGACCAAACTACTGGAACTAGAAAGGGAATGGAGCAATTACTATTAGCAAGCAAATTAATTGGTTTTGTAATACCTCTTGCGCGCAAGGTGCTTGTGTAAATGCTGCAGATAAGTTGCTAAGCTTTAGCTGAGTTGTTCATCACAATACGGGGATGAATTGTGACAATCGTGTTGAATCTCGTGAGAGAAATTCAAGTCAAAATGGTATTATTGATAATTTTAGCATCACGAACGTTTAAATGACATACTATTTATCAGATAATATTATGACTTAAGATCGGAAGGTTAATCTTCTTTACCAAGCAAGAACGATGCATGTGGTCGCAATTAATCAATTCTTGCAATAACTTGAGCATATTTTAAACATGGCCTGTTGGTTGAAAATGTATTTAGATTAGAAGGTTAAAATGTTCTATTTATCTTAACGCATATATGATTTAACGTGATGATAAATTAGTATGTCAGCAAGAATTTTGTTATTTTGCTGAATGGTTGACATCCTTTCACATGTCGTAGATTCCGCATAAATAAAAAATGTCTAAAAAAAATGGGGACCTTGTCATTATGAGAGTCGGTCACTACCTCTGTAAAAAAAATTCAGGTACTGTAACGAGATTGATATCAGCAAATACATAGAATATTCGTTGTGGTATGGATCTTGTATTGATGCAACACATTATGAAGAGAGAGAATCGGTACGAATGAGTAAATAGAAAAAAAATAAACTTTAACTGAAAAATAATGAAAATTGTAGACACATGTTGAGAAGATAAAAAGACAAAATTTTAATGAAATAACTTTTATAGTTTTATTTTGAAGTGAGTAATATTAAAAGAAAAGGGAAGAAAATAGAAATATTTGTCAAATAAAATAAACTTCTATTCATTTGAAGAAGGAAGAACGATAAACAATCCATTTTCGTGGAATAAGTACATTAAGGGTGCATTTAATTGTGAGTATGAAATTTACATGAAAAGAAAATAAATTTTAGACAATTCAATTATTTATAACTTTTTGTATGAAAATTATTAATTAAATGTGTTTGATTTATTTATTTTTAACTTAGAAAATATTATACTTGTCCATTTTTTATTGATGGATAGATGAAAAATAGTGATGAATAGATGAGAGAAAGAGAGTTATCTGAAAAAAAAAAAACCATCATTCCTTAAAGAAAATGTTTTTCTTGCTTTTTAGGAAAATATGGTTATATGGCCGAAAAATTGGAAATAATTTCCATGGAAAAAATACCAATCAAACATTTCAAAAGTAAAAAATCAGAGTAAAATATAATATTTTTCATCAAAAATAAAGTCAATTAAACACATACTAAGGGGGCGTTTGTTTCCCTTTTTGTAAAAATGACAATGAAAAATATGGTCGTTATGGGTCCTACACAAGAGATAGAAATTCAAATTTGGTAGTTTGATATGACGAATAACGACTTTATTTTTCATTTTAATGAGAAAAGAATGAGAAACAAACGGGGGCCAATTATTTTTCTTCTTTAAAAAAAGACCATTTAAGAAGATATTTTCAGTACAGATTTTGATACTCAAATAGGGCCGTGACATGCCCTTGTGACAGGGCGCCAAATTAGGGCAATTTACAAAAATACCCTTAAAATTAGAGGTTTTTAGAAAAATCATATGAAAAAATTTTTGTAAGTAAAAAATACTGTGTAAAACTAAAAGGTGACATAATGTCACTTTTTTATAAAAATTGTGTAACTTTTTTTAAAAAAGAGTGACAAAATGTCACTTTTAAAAGTTTAGTATCACTTTTTTATTGAAAAAATACATATAATGTCATTTTTATTAAAAAGTGACGTTTGTCACAAAAAAATGTGATAGAAACTTCTAAAAGACGATTGAAAAAAGTGATAAACACTAAAAAAAAATGACAAAAATTCTAAAAAAGTGACAAAAATTCAGAAAAGCGACAATTTTTTTAAAAAAAAAAACAGTGATGAATTTAAAAAAGTGACACAAATAAAAAAAAAAGTTACACACATTCAAAAAAAGTGACAAAAAAAAAGTGACACAAATTAAAAAAAAAAGTTACACGGATTCAAAAAAAGTGACAAAAAATAAAAAAAGTGACATACACTCAAAAAATGACAACTTTCAAAAAAAGTGACACAAACTCAAAAAAGGTGACAAATACTCGAAATGACTATTCTTTAGCCAATGATACATGAAATACACAATTTGTTTGAGATATCTTATAATTTGTCTTTTAAAAGCCCCCGCCTTTACCATTTCCAAGCAATAACTATCTTCCTTCTCAGATCAATTTTGCTAAACAATTAAATTTCCTTTTTCAATCTATTGCACATATACTGTCTCTTAAAGTGAAACCACATGATGGTGCAAGCAGGCGATAAATGTGATTTATGACAGTACAAAAAAGCCACATAAGGTGGACAAAAAAACCATTTATGCAAATTACTCACACAGATGTCAGCCCCAATTTCCTTAACATCTACATGAACACAACCAATAGCATGAGCTGCATCTACAAACACGCGCTCCACACCTTCTTCTCTACAAATCTTAACCAACTCACAAGCAAGAATCACAGGGCATGGATGTTATATAATCAATTATGGCTAGCCTACTTTCTTACCATTGGCCTCTGGCCAACCCTTTTCGAAACTCAACAATGATTTCTTCATTGGAATTCATAGGAAACGGCAAGTGAACCACAATGACAGACCCCTCTGCGTGAGTAACATAAGCCTCAATAGACTTCTTGACTGCCTGGATTTGGAAGGCACAGTGGAGCATGACAACTGCATCACCCTTCTGGAAGTGGCCGTCAGCGAAGGCCCAGCCAACGTTCTGAAGGACAATGGCTGCGGTAGTTGTGGCATTGTCGACAATAGACACCTCGTCCACATGGTCGGCATTGATGAGGTCCTTGATAATGGTGTGGGAATGGAGGATTTGCCGCTGCAGATGATTGAAGAAGAAGTTGCCAGGCTGCTGAAGAAATCGTATTAACGTATTAAATACGATTCTGTGAGGTTTTATTTTATTTTAGGGTACTAATCTAATTTGTTTTGTTTTCAGAGTAGTGGGCCTAATTTGCCCGACAAATTATAGGAGGGGGCGTCTCCAATAGGGGGCCCCAAATTGGCGCCAGTCAAATGGGCCACCACAGTAGCACGGCCCTTTCTGTACCCAGTGCATTAGCAGATCAACAACGTTGGTGGCGGCGTCACTTTGGAACCACTTCGGATGGATGTTGAACACCTCGTATAATGCGGTGGTAGACTTTCCAAAATGATTCAGATAGGGGCGTAACAACTTTTCTAGTCAAACGAAGCACTTCTAGAAAATTATTTAAACATATTTAAGGGCAACATTTTAGTTTCAGAAGCAATTTTTGACTTTTTAAAAGCTCGAACAAACAGGCCCTTAATGAAACGTCGTAGAAGAGGTCTGCATTCATGTGAAATATGGCCATGCCATCCAAGCCAAGTTGTAGGTCTTTCCTATTTGCTTGGAATATTAGTACACATAAGGTAATGATATCATGAAAATTGAAATGCAGGTATTATGTATCAAGTGATTGCAATCAAGTTGTTTTCTACAATAAGCTTGATCATAAAGAAAAATCTCTCTTTCCTTGTTTGGTGGGTGTGGGTTCATGGTGTGCACAAGAGGGTTGCAATGGAAGGAAGAATCAGACAAGCAGATCTTAAAAGTCTCACCTAATGAAATACTTAATATAAAATGATTTCATTCAACTTGCCACATCCGCAATTAACCTATCAGTTTTCCTGTCGCTTTCTCATCATCAATTCATGGTACCACCCTCCTTGGTTTTAAGTTAAATTAGTTGGAGAATGACAGATTTTATTTTGGAAAAATTAGGATTGCATGCTTCAAGTAGCACTGTTTTAGCTCATCAATCTTCAAGATAGAGGTTTGAGGTTTACATCAATCGTATGTGATGTTCAAGTGACTTATAGCTTAAGGGTTTTATGTGGGGATTTGAACATATTTATAATATAATTTTTATTTGATATTTTAACGTTCAAAATGACGGTTTCGATTACGTGGAGATTCAAATGTTTACATTTAAAACGTAAAATATGTTGGTTGGGAGCTTAGAATCTCACTCTCTTAAGGTTGGGTGGTTAAAACTAGTTAACGAGTGTCATAATTTTGCCAAACTAAATTTTAAACAAGGTTAGGTTACTTAGGATTTGGGTGTGAAAATGTGAAAATTGCAATGAAATCAACCAATACGCTTTTGCGGAAAGAAATGTAACATTTTGACCAATGTTGTATCTGCAACATACATGTATATGATAATGAGGAGTCAAATAATTTATAATCTTAATTTCTCTAATAAGCCTGGCAATGATTATTAATTTTTGTCAAACCCTGGGACTTGACTCTCCATTTTTATATGATAATGCAAGGAAACTAGGTACAGAAATTTTGCAGATTAAAGTGTGTAATGTCCAGACAGATAATAAAGCACAAAGACCATTTAAATGCTTTTTTTTTCTTGAAATGATATCAGAAACACACTTACTTTTCTGATGATATCATAGTTATTTCCTCACGTTTCAAAAATATTATTAATATTCCCAATTTGAGTTATATTTCATCCTACAATGAGACGAGAAGAAAAATGTTTCAATTTTTACAATTAATTATAATTTAAGTTGTTCAAAGTAAACTATATAAATATATAAATTGACATATTATATATAAAGCACATACAATATAATTAAATTTTAATAATAGAAATTTACTTATTTTGTTTAGAAATATTTCACTCATTAATATACCATTTTGACATAGTAACCTATTACATAACCAAATCGTTATTTAATAATAAATTTTAATGTGTATAATTTTTTTTAATGAACTAACATATATAAGTTTGGCTAAATTTTACTTCAATTGTAAAAATACATGTTTAAATTTAAAATCTTATTTTAGTTTATGAATTTTATGTCAAATTTGTTAATATTTAAATTATGTATGTATGATGAGTATAATTAATTAAAAAGTTTAAATAATTTATTACCAAAATTTTTTAGGTTGATTTTCCTCTAGTATATCTGCCTAAAGTTTTTATATTAATTCATTATTAAATGGAATTGAATTGTCATTAATAGTAGAAAAATCATCATTTTCTTCACAAGAACATTTTAGGTATATCTACTCAAAAGCGATAAAGAGTATATATGATATTCAAACCTGGAAATAATGAGAAGTTAGTGATATTTTAAAGGAAAATGATTGTTGTACATATCGATGAGGTGACAAAAAAAGTGGGCAAATTTTTTTATTATTTTTATTAGTTGGTGAGATTTTGATTTAATCGAATCTCGCCATATCATCAATTGGTATTAAATCTGTAAACTCTAATGTCAATGTGTTATGTATCACAATAGTATTTTTAAAATGTGGAGGGATGCATTTGATATTATTAAAAAGATGAGGGGTATATCCGATATTATCTCTTCTTTTCAGCTTAAAGAAACCAGCATTAGATCCACTGCTCTTTCCTTGTCTGTCTCTGGAAAAGCTACCACCGTCTCTTTATGGAGGCTATGAACTTTTGTAATTAACTCTTCCAACAGGGCCACTTCTGTAATTTCACTGTAGGGTCTAGAGACAATTGAAAAGCAACCCCCAAATCATTTTTTCTGTAAATTCTTCCCGTTGAATCATTTCTACTTCTCTTCTGCTGTCTATAGTGGAATATCTCGAGAAAAAACTCTCTTATACACAACATTCTCGTACACTGGACTAAACAAATGTTGTCAGCATTTTAGCGGCGACCCAGGACTCTCCCATTCAACCCACTTTCATCTTGCTTCGGCTTCTACTTCCTCTCCACCATGTCTACCAAATCCAAGTAAGTGGAGATCTCATGTCAGGTTCTTGGGCTTTTTTGTTTTTAGTTTATTTTCTTGTTTATGGGGTTCGAATTTCCTATATTTCATGCCTTAATTCTTGATTTTGTATGTTATTTCACTCAATATCGGGATCCCTAACTTTCAATTGAAATTGCATAAACTGTTATTTTCATGTCACGGTATACGTGCATTGGATGTTTTTGTAGATCTTGCATTGTCCGTTGAAGGGCTTTGATTTTGCACAAACTAGTTACAATTTTCTCATTTTCGTAGATCTGCTTTATCTGACACTCCCAACCAAAAAGCATCGCCAGCGACCCCTAGGGTGAACAAGCCCAGCAGGGGAATTGCTAAATCTGAAGTTGATTCACCCTCTCCACTGCAAAGTTCTCGCCTTTCAGTTGACCGGTCTCCTAGATCTGTACCTTCCAAGCCTACACTTGACCGGCGCTCTCCCAGGCTCACTACTCCACCTGAAGTAAGTTTAAGCTAGTACCTCGGAAATGTATTTTCACATTGCAGGGATATGCTTTCCAGCATTTGGTGCTTAAGAAGCAAGAATTCAAGTGTAGTGTTCAATTGTTGATTCAATAGGATAATATCCGTGTTAAAGACGGTCTTTACCTAAGGAGTGAAATTTTCATGAAATCTATTTTACTTAAAAATTATGACATGCATCTGTTTGAACATTCTGAAATACTAGTATGTTTTAATCTGCATTGTTTATTGATCCTTTTTTGGTCAGAAAAAAACAACTCGGATTTTGAAGCCATCAGAACTTCAGGCAGAATTAAATCTTGCTCAGGAAGATCTTAGGAAGGCCAAGGAGAAGTTGGTTTTGGTTGAGAAAGAAAAAGCACAAGCACTTGATGAGCTGAAGGAAGCCCAGAGATTGACTGAGGAAGCAAATGAGAAGCTCAGGGAGGCTTTGATGGCTCAAAAACGAGCAGAAGAGGATTCTGAGATTGAAAAGTTCCGAACTGTTGAGATGGAACAGGCAGGTATTGAAGCAGTTCAGAGGAAGGAAGACCATTGGCAGGAAGAGCTTATAGCAGTGCGAAACCAGCATGCTTTGGATGTAGCTGCTCTGCTCTCTGCCACTCAGGAGCTGCAAAAGGCGAAGCAGGAGCTGGCCATGACATCTGATGCCAAAAACCAGGCTCTTAGTCATGCTGATGATGCGACTAAGATTGCAGAGATTCATGCAGAAAAAGTGGAAATTCTTTCTGCAGAGTTGATCCGCTTGAAATCAACCCTTGATTCAAGGCTCGAAATGGAAGCTAATGAAAATAATAAATTGGTGGAGGAATTGAAATCGGAGATAGAATTTCAGAGACTAGAACTCGAAAAGACCAGGGGCTATGAAGAGAGACTGTCACAAAACGAGGCTACATTAGAGCAACTTAATGTGGATCTGGAGGCTGCAAAAATTGCTGAATCTTATGCTCGTAATTTATTAGAGGAGCGGCAGACGAGGGTGGAGGAGTTAGAAGTGCAGATGGACGAAGCAAAGCATTTGGAAAGAACTGCATCAGAATCTCTTGAAACAGTCATGAAACAACTTGAAAGAAGCAATGATTCATTGCATATTGCAGAATCTGAAATTTCATCCCTAAAAGAAAAGGTGGGTTTGCTGGAAATCTCAATTGGAAGGCAGAAC